CCGAAAGGTATATCAATTGAATGTACATTACAAAGCAGCTGAACAAGCTACTGTAATAAACTGAGATATGGAGATAGGACTTTCATTGACAAGGTTTTCTGCTGAAAGCATATATTTCTAAACTGGAAGCGATATGTGTACAAACTGTGAGGTCAAATAATAAACCAAAATTCACTATTGTCTGACTTCTAATGTAGTCAACATCTGCTTTCTCTTGCAGGAAGTAAAATAATCAAATAATTGTTGCAAACTCTAAACCCATGCCAAAACCAAGAAAGTTATGCTTCATAGTTTCTACGAGGGTAAGCAAGTGTTCTCACAAACAAGAAGCGATATATTCCCGAAAAATATGAACCAATAACATTATAACAAGGTGAGGTGAGGTGAAATTGGGTTTAACGTTGTGCTTGAGAATATTTCGCTCATATGACGACGTGCATGCGTGTGTATGTCCTTAACTCATTAAGCCCAAGAGACACTTCACTACTCAACACCGTACTGGAACCCCTCGCTGATTGCCCGGCTTGCTGTTGCGAGCTTATTAGTGCTATTCACACCTGATTTCCCCTGGCAGGTTTCAGGGATGACAGGAAACTGTGTTGTTGTACAAACAAGCTCTGATTGTTAAGTTAAAAGAAAGCAGGTGTGAATACATACCATGTATGGCAACATTTTATGTAATTTTATTGCAAGTTTCTATTGTAGACCTTTGGCGGCTTGTACATTTATGTTTTATCAACATATGTATGTATTCTTTGTATGTAAGAGATGAAACATACATAAACAAATTCTTTCTTTTATATCGTTGTGTGAGGTTTAATTTTACAAAATATCTATGACAATGACATACTGTAAGTTACATACATGCTTTATAATCTTCTATGATATTAGCGTTTTTGCCGATAGATTTCTACTGTATACTGAATATTTCAAGGAAAGTACTATTACGCTAGTCTGTGACTAACAAAGAGCACATTCATAACTTTGTTTCATCTAGATTTAATGCAAAAACATACGTTATCATACGAATATACATATAAAAATTGTATAATACAGATTCCTTGTATAGACATAAAACAAAGAGTCACGTGATAGGGCTGCCATCAAATTTCCCCAATAGAACACATGTATCTCAATCACTCAATATAGTGGCTGATCCTTTGTTGTCTATGACCAATCGTATCATGAGATACCTGTCACAGAGGAAGGGACAGGTGATGGGGCGTGGGCGAAATTTCTGAAGACCATGTTTGGTCACTCAACAGCTGGATAGAGATTGATTACCGGCTATACCGTTTGCCAGTCGATATGCTGGGTTTCGGCTTTAACAACTCAAGCTATCATGTAACAGTTTGTGTATTGTAAACATACATAATCGTAACAATCTATGGAATATACACATAAGACAAATAGGAGTAGATAGATCTCAGAGATCGAAAACACATTTTAGTGTGTTTCGATAAGTAAAACAAAGTGATTGAAATCCAACCATTGAGTAGAGATAGTATTTATTTTCATATAAATTTTATGCACACGGCCAGTACATAAAACATAATGGTTTGCTGTACATGTAAACATAATCTTCACCTTGATATGAATAAATATCCAAATTAAAGTACACATATTATAGAATTCAAAAAGTGACACGATACTGAACTATTATAATGTATAAACTTGCAGTTTAACCCCCCTAAATATTTTTGAAGATGGGCGTGCCTATATTTATACTGAATGTAAACGAGGTTCATAAGATTACAGATGTGCATGCATGCATAAATATTACAAAGAGGGGTGTGACTCCATAAAGCAGGTTGTCCAATGATATAACATCACATCTGTTTATTTTACACTTGTCACGGGACAAACCTTTCAACAAGGACGTAACTACACATGCATTCTACCGGAGGCTGTTATTTCAAGGTTGAAAGAGGTCTTCAATTATCTCATTACTGTAATATGATTGATTATACGTATGTGTATCGATACCGTAAATGATATACTATCAAGCTTTTATTGACGATGGATCAATAGAGACTGAGTCTTTGATACACGTGATAATTACACCGGATTTGATAATTACAGAGATCAAATAGAATTGTTTTACATAATGCTCATGTAAATTGCACAGAAAACTGACAGTGTTATAACGATATTTCTATAGTGCACATATCCAGGCAACTAGTGCTTGCTCAAGGCGCTGGTAACATTATCAACTTTAGAGTATGGAAAATAACTAGTTACAATTCAGTAAGCTTTAAATTAGTAAGTTAAATTATGTCTAATCTATTCGAGCTTGGATGTATAATTATTTGTGTTTATACATTATGTTTCATTATATGAAACATTACAACGTAATAATACCTAAAAAATAAATTCAAACTATTCTATTGTGTTTGAATTCTTTGTATGTCCTTGAAATTTTGCATATTGTTTCCTATTTATTCCTATATAATCTTCAGTAACCTCGAAACCATTACATCTAATTCAATCAATGTGCATAAGAAGTATTTTATTATCCATTCCCAATGAAGAGTACCAGACACTTACCTCTGTAAAAACATCATAATCCCCTTTCTCGCCGACATGTGTTCATTTGCCAAATGCTGTATAAGCCTATGATAATGATTAGCAATTGCTATCAAAACACTTTAAATACTTCTTCTGATTGACACTAAAGGTAGCATCCCTCGTAAGAAAAGCTAATATTTGCTCAGCCCTACTAAATTGGTTGAAATAATAGGTACAGTGCGATTTTTAAAAGTACGACACACATGTGCGTCTCTCGCTGAATAAGAGGTGCTTTCTGTTGACGGATATATGTGGCTCTCGCTGTGAGAAACTGCCAATTACCTGCCCCATAAACACGTCACTCGCTGTGAGGAGCTGATTAATTTGCCCCATATATGCGTCTCTCAGCTTTAATGAGTTAATGGATTAAGGATACTAAGGATATTCATAGTTAAACAAGAAAAAATTGTTTCCAGGGACACGGATGCCCCCGCTGCTATAGGAAGAGTTCACACATTCAGGGTCCCACTGAAGTACTTGAAAACACTAAAAACAATGTGTTGAGGGCTTAGATAACACAACCTATTATCATATAAAGATCAATAACTGAACAAAATTCACAAACAAGTTCAATAAACATCTATGCAACTATGAGATGCACACCTTTCGAGTCCCAATGAAACACATGTATAAGCTTAATCAATTCTGTTAAGCAGTTTTTGTGAACTGGATAGACTTAATCCCCTATTTCACTATCATCAGAGAGAAATTCAACAAAATGTATCTAAGTTCAAATGTCTCTAAACATACAAAAAAATTATAAAAGACAAAAACAAAATATGAGATGCACACTCTATAAAAGACATATGTAAGCTAAATGAGTTTTGTGCAGTGGTTTTTGAGGAGAAGTGGATAAAGTACACCCCCTGTTGTATGGGACGAACAGGATGAATAGAACAAAATTCAACTAAGTTCAAACATCTGTAGAAGTGACAAAATTAAGAAATTGGATGAACAAGGTATGAGATGCACACCTTTAGAGTCCCAATGAAACACACGTAGAAGCTCAATCAATTCTGTTGAGCAGCTTTTGTGGAGAAGTGGATAGACTTCATCCCCTATAACTATAACACTATATTCAGAGAGAAATTCAACAAAATTTATGTAAGTTCAAATGGCATTAAAATTGGAAAAATAAATAAAATACAAAATCAAAATATGAGATGCACACCTTTAGAGTCCCTCTAAAGCACATGTGTAATCTAAATGAATTCCATAAAGTAGTTTTTGAGCAGAAGTGGATAACGTACACCCCCTGTTGGATGGAACGAACAGGCTGAATAGAACAAAATTCAACTAAGTTCAAACATCAGTAAAAGTGACAAAATTAAGAAATTGCATAAAAAATTATGAAATGCACACCTTAAGAGTCCCTACAAAAGACATGTAGAATGTCATTCAATTCTGTTGAGCAGTTTTTGTGGAGAAGTGGATAGACTTCATCCCCTATTACACTATCATCATAGAGAAATTCAGCAAAATGTACATAAGTTCAAATGTCTCTAAACTTACAAAAAAAACAATAAAATACAAAAACAAAATATGAGATGCACACCATTAGCCACAGAGCGTTTTTTGAGGAGAAGTGGATAGAGAACATTCCCTGTTTCGGACGGACGGACGGACACGGAGGGTAACCCTATATGCCCCGTGCCATATATGGCGGGGCATAAAAATATATAGGTAACATGAATACACTATCTGTTTCAACATTCAAATTAAGTAAGGATATATTTTCTCAAACAGGAAGTGACATAACCTGGTAATATTTACAACATGAGTTAAAACTATTCTGTTTTCCGAGGTATAAATTGTAATAAAATAAGCATTTTCCAAACTCTACTTTGGCCCACCAGGCGTACATATTTCAATCACATAGAGCATGTTTTGGACATTATGGGTCACAGAATGTGCCAGAGATCCTCCAGTACAAAATCTTGCTGTATTGGAATAAACAATACATCAAGAATGAAATGCAATACCTCAACTTCAAATTCAACATCTGATACAGTCACAGAGTTGGAGGGTCAGGGATGTTATTGCAGGTGACGGAGGTTACACCAGACACTGACATTGTACTTGGTTATTGATACTTATGTGATTTCATGAAGACCTGTATGCCAGAATGTTCAAAATGATTGCACTTGTCAAGGTCATACAACCACAGTTATCAGCACTACAAAATGAAGCCATTGTTTTCACAAGTTTGCTTTTCTGAATAAACTGTAGGTTTTCATTCTTTTGCGGTATTTGCTATTTAATTATTCCTTGAGGGTCAGTTTATCCAGATAGTGAGTTAAATTGAGGTTTGGTTTCTTGGCTAAGATTAATGGTAACATATTGATGCTGTGAAATATATGGGATGTTGCAAGACTCTTTTTCCATGTGTATAATATTCTATTTCATGTGCTGTGTCTTTTGGTTTAACATACCTCGCCACCTAAAACTCTGGCAAGCAGGAAGATGACAAAAGATCCAAAGATCCATATTGTGAGAATCCATGAAACGACCTGAAACAAAGAATACAATGATTAATATATAGGACTGACTGTCATTGACCTTTACCTTGATATTTAGTTAACATCTTAAATGGGGACTGACTAGTCACTGACAATCAACATCATCAATCGATCAGTAATGGATAACTAAACAATTGCGAATGTTGACTGTCCCTTGAAAGCTTGTCATCATGTTTTACATATATGTTTCCATGTTAAATTAAGTTACCTTAGGTGTAAGTACCCTCTCTTACGGATACGTAAAAAATGGCTTCTTATCTGGTTTGCATTATCACTATTGCCTTGATGATGAAAGATTGGCAAAATCTTCTTTGTGGAGAGTCACCTTGGTGATGAGCAGTGATTAGGAAGCCAAGGAATAGGGGACCACAGTTATCAGTAAGAAATCTTTATATAATTTATAAGGGCCTAGATTTTCGAAGCTCTAGCGTTAAGATAGTTGTAAGTTAATGTTAATGTATGGCACTTACAAATATTTTAGCGCTAATAGTGCTTCGAAAACTAGGCCCTGGACATTATAAATTTGTAAGCTTGCATTTTCATTATAACTATGCTTATTTAAGTTGTAGTTATTGTATATTACCGAAGATAAGCCGAATTTTGAAGACCAAAAAGCAGCCTGTAGAAGGGGGTTGGCTTATCTACGGTAACGCATTCTTTAAAGTTTGTTTCTGGTGACCAGTATGAAAATGACAATGTATCATTTCACGTGAATTAACAAGAGAAAACGGCTTTGTCAGCAAAGACGTTTAATATTTGGATATATTTTCTTGTATCTGTTATACAACACATGTACAGTCATTGCTTGTTGACTATGTGCACATTATTAAGCTGAGCTCAAATTGATACAATCAATGTGGGTTCACTTTCAATGGATTGATTGCATATACTTTTCACTTGGTTTGGTGCTAGGGGTTTTCTTAGCACATATGACTGTAGTATCTTATAGGCTGCTAAGATGGACTATAATGATGAGCTAAATTGCACCATTAACTCATTAAGGCCGAGAGCCCCATATGTGCGACAAATTAATCAGCTCCTCACAATGAGTGACGCGTATATGCGTCAGGTAGTTAGCAGTTTCTCACAGCAAGAGCCGCATCAAAAGAAAGCATGTCTTATTCAGCGAGTGATGCACATGTACATCCTTACCTTTTTATCACAATATACCTATTATTTCAACACCAATTTAGAAGTACTGAGAAATGTTTAGCATTTCTTATGAGAGATGCTACCTTTTGTGTTTATCACAGGAAGGGTGTTGACCCGGGAAAGCGGAATTTCAATATTCCCTATTCCCGGTAAAGCGAAAACCAAAGTTGTGCTGGAAGTGCTGCGCAAGCAAATTGCTATGAAAACATTGGATTGCTGTACTTCTGATTAGCGCGCGCGGGAACCCAATATTCGATCTCTGAGCCTCTTAACTGAGATGAAGTTTCCTGTTACCTGAGTAAGCTGAGATGAGGCCTAACTGAATGGGAGTTGTTTCTTATAAATACAATAAATGAATAAGTCAGGCTCTGTTACATGTCTAACATAGATCAACACATTCTCTTCCCACAGAGGTTACTCCTGTCATATCTTCCTGCGTAACCTCTGTTCTAATACGGCCATATTTCCCGTTTCTCGTAAAATCCCCTAGCGGCAAAAGATCGCAACACGAATTATCTCCCTTCTTTCTATCCAATCAGAACACGTGTTACATCGACTTAGATTCAACTTAACTAACACAAGCAAATGTGGGGCCACAAATATCCCCCCATCTGCCGGTGACTTGTGTTGATGTTACACACAAGACGTTTAATGGCTAGCTTGTCCGTTGTCAACGAGGGCGATGGAGACGCCACTGATCCCCCATAACATGACTGAGTTCTGTCTAGAAGAAACGTTTGCGCATCGCGCAGAGGAAGTGGTTTAGTTTTCTCGAAGTACACGGAAATTACCGAGGCCATGCAAATGGTCACTTTTGAAACAACGTCGCTGATTGCACAACTAAATCTGATTGTCTCCAATCACGGTCTTGAACGCTCACACCACAAAAGGGCCGTATTAGAACAGAGGTTACGTAGGAAGATATGACAGGAGTAACCTCTGTGGGAAGAGAATGAGATCAACAGAGCTACAGATAACTTTTTGAGTCATTGAATTATGTACTCGCTTGTGTTCATCTCAATTGTGTATGCTAAATTTCCTTTGAGTAACCAAATAAATTATACCCACCTCACTCAAAGTCAATTGGGTATTTTGCCATTTTTCAGCATTTGTGAAAATAGAATAAAGTTTAAATGTTGGTTAACGTGTGTGTTATGTATATTTGATCTGTAATATGAGATAAAGATAAGAAAGACTGCAAGTTGCCAAGTTCATGAGCTGAATATAGAACCTCTCAAACAGACCGATCCAGTCCCGGCCGATAAGCCCCCGCCCACTTCGTTTTTGACGTTAGGGGGACAACCACGGACTAATCACAATGGCGTCACCGCCGGCGAAACGTACGTGATTGTGAACGTTGTCTATGAATTCTGCTTGTAGTACGTTGGTATCCGTCGTTTGTGAATGATATTTAAAGAGGAAAGTTATAAGTACTTTATTTTTAATATATTTTAGTTGACAGATTGTAATTGGCGAGTGAAAATGAGTTGCATGCTCCATGAAAAATCGTCTCGGCCAGCTGCTGAGTGTGGAATGTGTTTCCTTTCGAACCAAATAACATATCTGGCAAGTCACATCCGTCTAAGATATTAGCAGGGAAAGGGTAACAGAATTATGTTGTTTTGTTTTTTTTCAAAAATTCCCTTCGTAATATTACAAAAGCCGTGAACACAGCCACATATTCAAGTTGGAAATCATTTCGGTATCTAAAAAATAGATTGTCAAAACTGTGCGTGGCGCCTTTATTTATTTATACGTTGTTCAAATTTAGTTAAATCAATAATGTGAAAACATGGGTTTCTACCTTTTAATGAACTATGCAGAAAAATGTGTCCCGTCTACTACTTCGTCCACCTTATTTGTCTATATTTGTAAACAAATAAATCACTGGATATCCTATTTGATCTTATTTGGGAATCTGGAAAAAGGTTATTGGGCTTGTAAACAGTATGTTTGCATGGATGTATCTGGACATACCCAGAAGCAAATATTCAGCAGCTAATCTGCTAATTCTCAGTATAATTTCTCTCTTCAAAATCTGTACACCATCCTAAAATGACACTGAATATAAGGAAATCCATTTTTAAATCATCCTTTCCAATATATTTTTCTATGTGTACTTTGTTGTGGTATCATAATTTACAAACTTCCACAATACCGGGCTTCATGAACTGCCAGCATTTACGTACAGTTATGTCACACCACAATAACACAAAGAAGATCCAAGTCTTCACCTGTACACTGACCCATCTTCCAGAAATAGGAAACCTGTGATGCAAAATCTTTGAACAGGGGATCCACAGTTATCCAAACAATTAACTAGCATTGAAATAGAATGTTACACAAAATACAAATATACTGCTTTTTCTTCATAGATATTTAACTGCTAACTACTAATGTAAATAAGGTGTAAAGAATATATCCTAAGTTCAAAGCTTTTCGTCAATAAAATTACATATTGTCATTATTACTTCTTAAACAATGATAATCTTTGTTTTATTAGATCTGAGACCATATCCCTAAGGGACATAATACTAATTTTGATATATTTCCTTTTCTGAGATACTTACTAGTGTCATCAAAATTATATTTAAGTTGTTTCTAAATTGTTCTGAGATACTTACTAGTGTCATCAAAATTATATTTAAGTTGTTTCTAAATTGGTAACAAAATAAAAGTTTAGGAAAACACACATGAAAATGTCCTGAAGCTTTCAACTCCTTCAAACCAGTATGCAATTTAATATGAAGCTCATTTTCCAAATAACCATCAACAAACCTTGAACAATTTGTCCAAAACCAACATCTTAATAAACACTACTTTGGCTCAAATGTCTTCAAATAATGGTAACCTCCTCAAAAGCTGATGATTTCTAAGAAGTTTTACATCAAATCTGGGATAAATATATGTTTCAATATTCATTCCAGTTACATGACAAGTCAACTGAAAATTTTGTAAGTTATTCTGTTCCAAGACTGAATAATGACTGAGCAGGGTGTGACCTTTATTTTTTTTCAAACTTTCTGGATGTTGAAATTTATTATCGTGAGCTTGATACTAGTAATCATTTTCAGAATAATCCTTTTAGTAAATATATTATTTAAAAAATCCAAAGATATCTTACAGCAGGAGCCAACAAACTAAGTTAATTAGTAGCAAGTGATTGTTCTGCCAGGGTACGTATTTAGTGTTTGTTTGCCTAGCTCTGCCTTAAAATCACATGAAACTGATATGTCAGTCAATTAAGTAGTTATTTATAATTAATTATGTTATTATTTATTTTATTACCTTTCCACGTTTACTTAAGGACGCAAGATTCTAAAAACATACCTTGCTATCATTTCCAGTGAATTATAATTAAAATGACAGTTATGCTATTACTCCTAAAATGTACCAGTGCGCCTCCCCTACATGTTAAAAAAATTATGTTGTAACAAAAATTCAAAAGAAATAATGTTCTCATAGTTAAGAAATACACTTTTATTTCACTCAGTCCAATATTCCAGAAAGTCACTATTCTTCTCACATAGTTTTCGTCTCTGATCCACATGGAGGAACGTAATTCAATTCAAGGTCCCATCTCTTTATAGAAATTCTGAAATATTTATGGCATGGTTTTATAGACACTCATTTGAATTAATTTTGTTATTTGGATGTTGCCTGATAGACAACTGCTGACACTGACTATGTTTCCTTTTGAATAAAAAAAATATTATTCCTGGAATATTTTGCACTAATAACAGATACTGTACTGTAGGCTTTCAGATTGTGTTTTCGAAATTTTAAAACATCCTATAATGTGTGACAAATTTACAAATATCTAAGGGCGATGGTAACAA